TTTGAAAAACAAATAATGAAGTAAAAATATACAAGCATTCATATAGTTTTACAATTAATCCCTTCATGTTGGCTTTATGATGTCAAATAGGACATAATGTACTAAAAACAAGATAGTTAAGTAAATCTACTTTAAACAGATTAGAATTTGACTCTGTTCTATTTCCTGATATGCATTAGGTTGTTTGATATATGATGGATATTTTATCCTATTTGAAATGTTAATTTTGCTCATAATATTTTTATTGTCATAAATTCCATTTCTGCTTCAAATTTAATTCCAAATGAGTAATATACTACTTTCTCTGTCTCCTATACTTTTGACACATCGGCTAGATTTAACTTTGTTACTGCTTGATCTGCTTGCTCTCCTTAATTTCTTACTTGACAGTGACATTCCATGAATTTAAAAACTTGTCCCAGAATTAAGATTTCTAAAGCTGTTATATGTACCTCTGGATTAAGCATATTTTCATACAATTTTGCTTTATTTTAAGAACAGTGAATGAAGAATTTTAAAATATATTTTAATCTCATTCTAATTTTCTACTGTATATTGTTTTGGGGTCATAAATAAAAATGACAACAATTCAATATTTATTTATAGGTATTTTTGTCAACTTTTACATTAATCTTACAATAGTTAATGTGACTGCATATTTATTAAACTTAGTTGAGTTTAGTGCTCTTAAATTAGCATTTCTAATCTAACCCAAACTGACTCTTTAGCTTAGTTTACGGAATAATTCTTGAAGAAGATGAATATCCTTCTAAATTGGCCAATAAATAACACAATGATAAATAGTGGAAAAAAATAAGTTTGTGAAGGGTTTAATTCTACTTGCATTGACAGTGTCCATGGAATCCACAGTCAAGAAAGAATGTACATGATTAAATAAATCTGGGACAAAATATCTCTTTAAATTTTAAAAAACAAAGCTGTCACTTCAAAAACTAAGGTTCTAGTGTTTATTTTTTAAATTTTTTTCTTAAATTGCTCTATATGTACTTGAAAGCTATATAATGAAAAGGAAGGCAGAAGAACTGACATCTCAAATCATTGTGTTGGTGAAGAATACTGAATAAACCATGGACTAACAGAAGACTGACTAGATCTATTTTTAAGGAAATGCAGCCATAATACTTCTTTCAAGCCAGGATGGTGAGATTTCATCTCATTTACCTTAGACACATTATTGTTGTTGTTAGGTGCCATTGAGTCAAGTATGACTCATAGTCACCCTGTGAACAACTGACCTGAACCCTGGCCTATCCTTTTCTATCCTCATCATCTCTGACATCCTTGAGCCTATTGCTGTAGTCACTATGTTAATTTGTTTAGTTGAGGTCTTCCTCTCCTTTAATGACCATTTTTTAAGCCTGGTGTCCTTTTTTCAAGGAATAGCTTCACCTACGTCCAAATAAATAATCTTGGAGAAAGTGCAGTCAAAGTGCTCCTTGGAGGCAAAGATAGTGAAGCTTCATCTCTCTTACTTTGAATATGTAGTTAGACACATCATTAGGAGAGACCAGTTGCTGAAAAAGTACATCATGATTAACAAGGTACAGTATCAGAGAAAAAAAGGAAGCATTCAATGAGGTCAATTGATAGCAGTAGTTATAATAGTAGGCATAGTAGGCACAAACATAGTGATGATTGCCAGATAGTGTAGAACTGAGCACTACTTTGTTCTTGTCTAATAAGGTTATTATAAAATTGAGTCAAATCAACACCATCTAGCAAAAACAACTGTATAGCTTTTATTTTATTAAGGACAAACTTTTATATTGGAATTTTGTGTTATCCTACAAAATAGAAAAGTAATGGATAAAGAGACAAATTATATACTTATGCATAACCTACTGATTGGATATATTTCAGAACTAAACTGTTATGGTAAAACAAAACCAAAAATAACCCAAGAAAACCCCCCACAAAAGCACACCAAAACAAACCACTTCTATTTTTCTTTTCATATTCTCTTTTTCTTCCTTCAAGAATATCTTTGACCAAAAAAATTATCAAACTTTGGAGAAGAAGAAATACTCATTTGTATATTACTTTAGGTAATATTTAATACAGATATTTTATGGATATTTTTAGTGCCTATAAAATAATTTTAAAATGATTGTAAGGAGAGGCATCAAGGGTAAAAGGAAAGATACGTATTATACATGATGCTAGAAAGACCTGGATAGCAATAGCCTGGGGCATTTCTTAACTTCTCATGTGTCATTAAGAAATGTACGCAGACCATAATTTGAACAAAATAATTACAAGTAGTCCAAATTTTATTTTTTGTAGAATAATTTTCTTACATCACTGGCATAAAAATGATAAAGTTTGTCTTCTAATGTTTTGGTACATCATTTCCTTCCTGAATTATTACACACTTACATTGCCTCTTATTTATCTTCTTCTAACCTGTTGTAATTGTTGCTGTGTGTTATCAAGTTACCTGCAACTCATAGCGACCCTATATACAATAGTTCTGAATCCTGCCCTAATCTGATCCAATCTCATTAATTCTAACACTCCTATCCCTGCTACCCAAGTTACTATGTCAATCCATCTCACCTGGAGTTTCCTTTTCTGTACTTTCCCTTCACCTTCCAAGGACAGGTCTCTCCTGACAACATGCCCAAATTATGAGATAGAGACTCAAAATCCTTGCCTCCAGGAAGTTTGTTTTCATCCTTTCCAATATAGACCTGTTCTCCAACTTAATTAGAACCAATTTAATATGAATTTAGTGCTGGATTTTATTCTGGGCAGAATAGGAATATTTTAAACAACAGATTGTTAGCTCTTATTAATCTTATCTACACAGCAAAACAGAAAAAGTGAAGGCTTAAAAATACATATTTAAATTCCAATTCTATTACTTTCAGTTTTGGGGTTTTTTTGAAGATATTCCTATTCTGAGCCTTAGTTTGCCCATTTGTAAAATTATGCTAATAACAGTAATTACCTTGCTAAGTAAGTATGAAAGTATGACTTAAAACCAAACCAAAACAAACAAAAAACCCACTTGGTAAAGTGCCATTAGTAGCTGTTTCTTTATTCCTTTCACCATGTTTTCCCCACCTTTAGTCAAATTGTTGTTCTTGAATACCTTTAAATTTTATGGACTGCTTTTAGATTTTTCTTATTACTTTTCTTTACGTGGATTTTAATTCTTTCATTGTTACTACATTCTGGTTTTGAGTAACTGGATACAAGTACTCTTGGTACCTAAATAGATGGCAAATTTTCTCGGTAGTTACTTTTAAGTAGTAAAATATGACTAGACATTACATTTCATTTTCCCAACCTAAAAGCATATAGAGCATTCTGACTAAACTTCACTCAAGATGGATTTGTTGCTCCTCAGGCAGTTCAATATACTTTGTCAGCATCATAATCCAAAGGCCTCATATCTTCATTGATCCTCTTTAATCATCGTTCTCTTTGGAAAACAGGTTTATATTAAATTTACTCTAGGGAGATTGGAAATGATAAACAAAATGAGGTAGAAATGTGTTATACTTAAGGAATAGGATGAAGTAGCAAAACACAGAAAAAATTGCTTCATTTCATATACTTGGTGCGCCTTATGCTGGAAAATTCTTGCTTGAGATTCAACAAAAAGAATGTGGTCCCTCAACAAAGTGCATTACCATCGTAACTGCAGCAGTATGTTCAAACACAGCAATGGTTGTAAATTTAGTAAAGGACCAGAAAGTATTTAGTTCATTGTCTTGTACACAGAGTAGCTATGAAGGCTGCCTACTGGCATATAATAACATAACAATGAAACAGTTAAGTTAGATAAAATATTTTTTAAAAGTTTAATTTTGTCTTAGAAATAGTAGATACCAATACAAACTGTTCTATTATATCAGGAGCATAATTATAATATACTATTTACATGATGGTCTAGTAGTTAAGAAATTGTTCTGCCAGTCCAAAGTCAAGCATTTTGAATTTACTAGCTGTTTCTAAAGATATAACCTCTGAAAATCTGTTGGACGGTCAGCTACAAGTCAGTTCCGACATAATGGCAAGGAGTGAGTTACTGAAATTTGTGTTTGTAAGTAAGGCTTTCTTACTCAGTTTGATTGTATGGATTAATGAAGAGACCAACACATAAACTACATACATTAATAATAAGATAGTGTAGGTTCAGTACTACAAAAACTACATAAATTAATAAAATACTACATAAGCTATGTAAATTATTAAGATAGTACAGGTTCAGTATTGAAATGCATTTTTTTTAAAAAGCAGGAAACTAGCAAAACTTCTAAATTATTTTGATTTTGACTTTTTTCTATTATGTAAGCTATAATATGCATATTAATGTGATTTCATAAATATTGATCATTTGGACTGTTTGGGGAATAGTACCATAACATGAGTTTTCTCTGACTAAATTTCTTATAAACATCAATCATTGTTTTGCTTGCATAACACAAACGAAATTGTGTTGTTCAGTTGTGAAATTGAATTGATAATAAATACCTTGAGTCATGATTTGGTCTCTTTGTTGGTTTAAAAGTTACTTTGTTAACTGCTTTTATTCCTATGTGAATTTCTTCTTTGATATAGATAGACATTAAGTGGATGGGCTGTCATACAATTACAAAGGTATATGTAGCTGTAATAAATCTAATAGCAACTATTAAAAAGCACTGACATGAGTAAATGTGTCAAACACCATTCTAAGAATTGTACCTGTACATCTCGAAATTAACCACTATTCTTGCTCCTATTACCGATAATTTGATTGATGGATGCTAATTACATTGTAAAGGATCATGCAGTACTAGTGGCAGAGATGCATTTGAATTACAATGTATGTTGTAACCCAAACATTTTTCTCTACTAGACTGTTCTGTATCATATCATGGCATTATTTTATCAAGAGGAAGAAATTCCAATACTTTTTTTCCAAACTTTTATTTTTCTTGATATTGATACAGTATTGACTTTGATTAATTTTGTGTATTTTTCCATAGGTGCACATATTCAATTTCTGAATTTTTCAACTGAAGCTAATCATGACTACCTTGAAATTCAAAATGGACCATATCACACCAGCCCGATGATTGGACAGTTTAGTGGCATGGATCTTCCCTCAACATTGCTGAGTACAACACATGAAACACTCATCCATTTTTACAGTGATCACTCACAAAACCGGCAGGGATTTAAACTTGCATATCAAGGTAAACTTATACAATGAACACAATTTTAAGTGAGATGCCTGAGTGGTGGGTAAGTTATTCTTATTGTTCTTGTACTGGGTACACAAATCATAATGCAGACATGGGAAGTATAAAGAATTACAACTGATATTACAACTTCATTCTCATTCCTTTCTTTCTTAGTGTCTTCAGGATTTCCTTACATTAATTTTCCACCCACATTTGTCACACATTTGTCACTGAGTCCTGCTTAGCAAATTGTAGTTTTGTCTTGTGCCTTCAAGTCTATAGTGTAGGTGAATTTTCATGAAGGAATGATATTTGGCAGTGTTTCTTCCATAGTTTGCCTTGTCTTAGACCAAAATAGTGGTTCTAAGTACTGTAATCAACATTTTAAAGTTATGCAAAAGGAGGTAAATCAGTAAACTAAATTTTACTATTTTTTTTAATCAGGCATAAAATGCCTAAGAGTAATTAAACTCAAACATTACCAAAACATTATTAACATATGACAAACGTGAATATATTTCATACAAATAATTTAGCTAAGCTTTTTAAAGAAAAAAAAATATTAGCTAATATAAAGAATAAAAAGATCCAAAATCTACAAGTTAGCATTTACTTATCATTACATTGTACAAGTATAACCTTGTATCGTTTTCCCTTTATATTCCATGGTTCAAACCCACCAGTTGCTCTGTGGGTAAAGGATGAGTAAGCTCCTCTTGTGTGATTTAAGTCAACATTGTTGTTGTTAACTGCTGTCGAGTTGTAAGTGACTCATAGCAGCCCTATGAACGAAAGCCTTCAACACTTGTGTGACTTTCATCCTTTCTCCAGGTTCATAGCGTTTCTGGAGGCAAGCTCTTACAGAAGTGGATGTCACTCCTGTTTTCAAGCATGTTTTAATCAGGAAGCTCCACCAAACACTGTCCGCCATTGGTAATCATTAATGCATTTGACACATTAGTGTCACAGTGTTCAGCTTCACAGCAACTATAAGTTTTCTCTGTATGGCAAGTGGACACACCAGGGCTATATGACCTAGAAGAATGTTTGAACATAAAAAATATGAATTCTAGTACCTTGAGTATTACAAAAAACCCAAAATGACAAATTAAATAAATGGATTTCCTTAGTTTTATAGACATCTTTCAAAAAAAGAATTTAAATTAAGATCTATTTATTTAATCAGTTATTATTTTTAATACTGTACTCTCAGTATTAAAAAAACCCCAACAAGCTTGGAAGTAACAATAAGAAGATATAAATTCAATGTAAAATAGTAGAATATTTAAGTAATAATGTTTAAAATTCTACTTTTGAAAGCTGTCTATAAAATTAAGGAAACCCATGGCATCCACTTCTGAAATAGCTTGCCTCCAGAAACTCTATGAACAGCGAGAAATGATGAAAGTTATACAAATATTCAGGTCTTTCATTCATAGTGTCGCCATGAGTATTTTATGGCTTGATGGCACGTAACAAGAACAACATAGAAAGAGCCCTGTTGGCCTAGTATATAGAAAGTTATGCTATCAAGTCAAAGGTGGGTGATTTTAATCTGCAGTCCTCAGACCTTGTTTTAATTGTTTTTGGTCAAACATTCTTCTAAGTGGTATCGCACTGGTCTGTCCATTGGCTGTACAGATGTTACTCATGGTTGCTGTGATGCTAAACACTGTGACACTGATGTGTCAGTTGCAATAATGATTACCCATGGTGGACAGTGTTTGGTGGAGCTCCCTGATTAAAACAAGCTTAGAAGCACAAGTGGCAACCACTTCCGAAATAGCTGTCTCCGGGAACTCTATGAACTTGGACACAATGAAAGTTATACAAATGATCAAGTCTTTTGTTCATAGGGTTGTTATGAGTCGTTTATGACTCAACGACACTTAACAACAACATTGTCAGTTAATATGTTGTGTGTTGTTGACACATGGTGTCATAGTGACCCTGAGTCAATCCATCTCATCCAAGGTCTTCCTCTTTGTATCATCCCTCCAGCCTTCTAAGCATGATGTCTTTCTCCAAGGTCTGGTCCCTTCTGGCAACATCCCAAAAGTATGTCAGATGGAGCTTCAAAATCCTTGCCTCCAAAAAGCAGCCCAATTTCATGCTCTCCATGATAAACTTTTTGTTCTTGGAGCAGTCCATGGTACATTCAATACTCTATTCCAGCACTACAACTCAATGGCATCCTTACTGATTGTCCAACTCCCTGATGCATAGAAAGTAATTGCCAAGACCATGGCTTGGATCAGTCAGACCTTAGTTTCAAGACTGACATTGTTGCTCTTCAGTACTCTGGATAGGATCCTAACAACAGACTTTCCCAATGCAATTAGTCTTTTTAATTTCCAGGCTGCTGTTAACAAGAATGTTGATTATAGAGCCAAGCAAACAGAAGTGGTTAACAATTTCAATCTCTTCTCTGTCTACCATGATGTAGCTAATTGACCCTGTGGTGAGAATCTTTGTTTTTGTTTTGAGTTTTTTTTTGTTTTGTTCTGGTTTTATATTCAGTTTCAGTCCACATTGTAGGCTGCAGACCTTGCT